TCAAAACTGTAGTGTTATCTGTTTTAAATTCATGTACAAAAGATATTGAAATTCAACCAATAAAGTAACGAGTATCTCACCCACACAATAGCCAAATCTCATTATGAAACCTTGGATAATATATTGATATTCACAACTAAACACAATTTATAATACATTTTTAATGTAAATTTGTTAGAACTCCGTCCAATCTATCTGGAGTGACGAGTATGTTTATTGAGACGTTAAAATTGACAAAGGTCGGATTTACGGAAAACAATAAGTCATAATAAATATAAAATATATAAAGACAGTACATTCGTATTAAGTTGCAAATTTTAATCTATATGTATGTAACATATTTAACATATATAATGTCATGTCATAGATATAATAAATATAAGAACAGAAAATTATTGTTATAGTTTAAAACATATTTTTAATACAAAAGTTAAGGCGTCAAAACGAAGATCTAGAGTACGCAGTCAAAATTTGAACGCGTCGAATTATTATGCTTAAAATTATGTAGTAATTTATAATCAACCTTTGAAAAAATTGCGAATAAATAAATGCAGAAATTGATTAACGACAGAAAAGTTACAAATATAAATTAATAAATGAATTAAAAAGTTATAGGTTAAGTTCATGGAATAAATATGAAGTAAATTTCATTCAAAGGCATAAATCCACGAAAAGCCAGCTGTAATAGGCTAATTTCTTATCGGTCACCGGGGCCCTCATATTTGAAGTAGGGGGCTCCGAAAACGCCGCGAAGGCGGACCGCCTCGCCGCGAGGCTGACGGAGGTCTTCGGCGGGAGGGACGACGTGAAGGTGTCCCGCCCGTCGAAGACTGCCGAAATAAGGGTCGCCGGGATGGACGACTCGGCCACCTCCGAGGAGGTGGACGAGGAATTAGCCAAATCCACCGGGCGCCGGGTGCAGGAGTTCAGGGTGGGGGACATCAAGACGGCCCCCAATGGCCTGGGCTCCTGCTGGGCGAGGTATCCGGTGGAGGCGGCAAAGCGGTTGGTGGCCACCCCACACATCACAGTGGGGTGGTCAAAATGCAGGGTCGCGCTGCTTCCCAGCCGTAGCCTCCAATGTTACCGCTGCCTGGAGGCCGGCC